ATAAAAGAAAAAATCAACATAAAGCTAACTGTTAGTAAAACATAAATAAAATGTCCCTAATCTTCTTTCAAATATGTCCAACTATTATATGTGTAAAATATTTAATGCGACCTAATAAATTTTATAATTGGGTTTTATTCTCAACTTTTTTATTGTTATGTTTATTAAATTATTATGTTTACTAAGAATGCATCCTACTTACAGATCTTTTTTATTCTTAGAGGGTTATTACAAAAACGGAGTTCAGACATAAGTTGATTGAAATTTAATTGAATTTATTCAGCTCCCATTTGCTGATAGGTCCTTAATTTTTTTCATTAGTGGTCCTTAAAAGTTTTTAATTTCTATGTGCAGAAATGTGTACGAACCCTGTGACATAATTTCTTCAATAGTTTATCCCATTGTTTAAGTCCTGTAATTGTCGTGTCAAGAATTCCTATTAAACTGCTTATAAAAATCTTTGAATTCTCAGTAACCTCTTTGTCACTTTCTTCACTACTTGTAGAGATATTATCTGGATTTAAAACCATATTACAAAATCTGCCATGTGTTAGTTTATTAATGAGTGTGTTCATAAACACTATGGAAAACTTCAATATCTTCATCATTTGTTATCAGCTTTTCATATTTTTCACAATTAATCAGAAAAATCTCATCTTGTGATATCCGAAAACTTTCATATTCACAATCAGCATCACCATAAAAGATGGTGTTGGTATACCATGAAAAATGGTAGTTAGTTATAACTTCAGATATATCCTCCCATGGCCTTGCAGTACTCGAGATAGCATATTTTTTATTAAACTATTTAAAAGATTCTTAAATAGTCTCATTACTGTTCAGAAAATTTAGCATAGATTTTAACAAGACTACTTTTTATCTGCATTTCAGCATTCCAATATCTATTAGCTGAATGTATAATTTAGAGGAAAGAATGACACAAAGATACTACATCTTTTACTAAAACTTTAAATGATGTATGAACCAAACAGTTGTACATATTGAGAATGATTTTTGCTTTAGCCAGTAAATCATTCAGTTTCAAATATTGCTGAGCCTCGCGTATGAAATGATTTTCAGACTAATAATTTATTAATGTTTTTGTCATTCCTGCTGTTGCCTGAGGTTGTATATTTTTTCCAATTACAAAAAGGTTACTTTTGTGCATTCCTGCAGCATTTACACATGCCAAAATCATTAGTCTTGCTCTGGAATCTTTCAGAACTGGTGGGGATTTTTCTGAAGAGATTGCCAGAGACCAGCTTCATCAGTGTTATAAATTTGAAGCTAATTTTTCATCATGAATGAGTTTGAGGAATTCATGTGCAAATTGTTTAATTGCTTCTGTATCCACAGAAGCCTTTTTTGCCTGATATTTAACTACCATGGCAATTTTTAAAATTGGTTAATCAACCTGTTAAATATGTGTGCTCATATTTTTTAAGACCTCATAAGCTGTTAGAATTGAACCTGAAATGGCACATCTCGCTGTGACACTGTCTCAGCTATTCAATGACTATTTTATCATGACTATCAATTTTAACATAATGGATGATTTTTCTGTTATTTATTATTGAGTGAAGTGTCAGAATCTACAAGAAATTAAAAAAGTTCTTTTTTTAGGAGGGTTTATTATTTTTATGTCCTATGCTGGTTTTTCCCAATGTCATACTCCGCATAATTTTGGAGAGATATGCCTTTACCCATTTTTTGCAGCAGTACTACTAGATTTTGCTTGATTGGTATCAAAACACGCTTTCCCTTTGTGATGATGCAGCTCGAATTAGAAAGTTTTTTTTTAACATAATCAGAAATTTAAACTTTAATTTTGATAATAATCTGCAAAAAATACTAAGCTTGATAGAAATTTAAGTAAGGGTACAGTTTGCTATTTTATCTTAACTGACTTTAAGTTCCTTGGAAGCTTTCTTCCTTCCTCACTACTACACAAACAAAAGAAAACAAGTATGAGCAACATCTCATTCCAAACAAATATGTCTTGGTTCTTCACTTATTATTTAGATCAAATAGAAAAATACTACCCACTGCCAACCACTCAAGAGCTAAAAGTGTGATTGTGGCGAACATCAGTATAATGTCAACCAATGTATTTTTTTGGTCACTGTGTGATTCACAGGCCAGCATATGTTTGAAATCGACATGAAAGTATCTCAACCAGTTGGAAGAAAAAAAACACATTTATTGTAAACCTTTCTGTTATTTATGGAATATTGATTATTATCTTTCTATACAGTGTGGTGGCCTACTACAAATCCATTGGACCTAGGTAATCTTGGATTAATACAAATATTTACTATTGTAATGCTTGTGTGGAGTCTGCCTTCTAATTCAAGCAATATTCTTAAGAATCTGGAGATGGGATATAAACCTACACATTCCACCTTCTAAGGCATGCAAAAAAAGATCGAGAAAATAGTGCTCTAGGGTATATTTAAAATTGAGATGGAGCTTATGCAAAAAATCCTTGTGTGTTTTTCTAAATAAGGTAATCTATTCATCGACTACTTTGTGAGGGGGGGAGATGCAGATAGAACAGATTTCTATTTTGATAACACTTTGGATTTGAGAAAGGGAAAAAATTAGTTTTTTGAGTGTAGGAAAAAATTTTAAAATTTCTGTCAGTGGTCAGATGTGTGATAGTGTTTGAAAATTTTTGACTGAATATTATGGTTTATATTTATAAGGTATTAAAATTTTTATTATTTCTTGAATATTCCTAAATGTGAGCATTCTTTTGATAAATGAAAGCAATTTCCAAACAGTGGTACAATATTTGGAAATTTGTTTCATACAGAGAATATATTGTATAAGTAACCACCAGATTGGCTGTGATACATCACAGAAGTGCACTGGATGGAAAACTTGTTGTGGGGAAGTATAGTGGAGGTATCAACATTTTGCAGCCAACTACAGTTGGCTAAGAGTGGGTTATGAATCTAATAAGTCTCTGTGCAGGAGATGTGTCGTGAGAAAAACAACACAGTGTTTGATTAGAGGTGCATAATCAAATTTTATGTGCTATCCAGAAAATCTGGGATACAGATGTATGACATGTTGTAGACAGCCTTTGAGAACAAGTGTCTACAAAAAACACAGGTATTTACATGTCATAAGGCCTTCAAGGAGGGGTACAAACACATGCAGGATAGAAAAGGGAAGGGTTGACTGTTCACAACCAAAATAGATAAAAATGCAAATCATGTACATAATTGTTTTCACAGAGAATGAAGCATGGCTGTGCTATTAATCACAGATGAGCCAAACTTGATAAGAATGCAAGTTCATGAAATTGTGATGAATTAATTAGGCATGTAAAAAATGTGTCAACAAGTAAGTGTCAAAAGTTCTTAGCATCTCCAGTAAACTGACACTAGTGACAGTGTGTCGTGGATTGTTGGAGCATGTTTATGCCATATTTTATGCAGTGTCTGATCATAGAGATGAATCGTTGATCTTTGAATACAATCCAGAGACAGAATGTCAAAATTCCTAACGGCACATGCCACAGTCACTCTAGCTGAAGAATGCTAGAATGAGCGAGTAACAAATCACAGTGTAGTTTGTTTCCTCTACAACAACAGTAAATGCAGGTTTTTACGTCAAATGTAGATAAGATTTCAAAAATGCATCTGGAGATCTTTGATAGCTACACCCTTCCACCTTGAAAATGTTTCAAGTTACACTGTATTGCCAATGTTCTGATCAAGAACAAAGTTCCAACACTGCTACAGCCCTGCAGCATTTTTATGTTTTGCTGACCGAAAAGAAACATGAAAGGACATTGATGCATAATCATTAAAGCTGTTCAAGGAACTGCAAATTAATGCTGAAAACACTGCTGGGAGCAAGATATAGCTGCACAAGTGGCCTATTTTGAAGATTATTCAATGTCGTTGCTAATACAAGTATGTTCAATATGAGTTTGCTAATATCAATTCAGTTACTTTCACAATAAACCCTGTATAAGATATTGTATGCTTTTGAACGTTATGGTGTGTGAACAAAAGTCACCAGTATTTCCTGTTAACAAAAAATATTGGTTCAATACATAAAAAAAAATGTGCTGTTTTGGCAAGACAAGAACCAAAACTTTCTTATGAACTTTAATATGTATCCCTCAATTATGTTCTATAATTCTGAGTATCTGAAATCAGTGTCTGTACTATGGCTGAAATTTCAAACATCCATTGATAAAATTTGAAATCACTTAGGGCTCCCAACTGAAAATGCATAAACTGATTTGAAATTAGGAATGTTGTATTCAACATACATATATTGAATATTCAAAATGAATAAATATTTTCTTTGTTCCATAAATTTTAAAAATTGTTTTAGTTTCCATTGTTTTAGTGAAAATGAAAACACTTGTCATATGTATACATATTAAATCAACCATAAAATAGTATTATTATATTTATTATGCCCATTACTCAAACATAAAATGGAATTTGTCTATAGTTTATTTATAACAAGTGTATATATTATGAAATCATGACCATATTAAACATAAAGCCATAGTAATTTGAATTAGCATGTATTCTTGTGTAGTTTTTTCTACACAAGAACTATAATACTTCTTTCTAACTATAATAAACATGTATAATAACCATAATGAGGCATATTTTTTATCTGGTATTCATTATATGTTCATTGTTGATTTTTATGTATTTTCATTTTTTATGCATAACTTTTTAATTTGGATCTTTTATAAAAAGTTCTAAAATTAATCTTTTTTATGTTTGGATAAAGGGTTTTACAGAATTATTTAAAGTTTCCTATTTATCTCATGTATTTATTTTTAAAGTGTAAAGATATGGGCATGAGATAGGAATTGATATATATTTAGCTAAATTAAATAAGTCAGCTAAGAAAGTTAGTGGGTTCATATGTCATAAAGATCATCATAAGTTATATTGTAAATTAAGTTAGATTTTTATTTTTAAAGTGTATGAAATTATTATAATATTTATTCTTTTCAGCAGGTGATAGTTCAGCTCAAGAAATTCCACTTCCAGAATTTCCATTGATACCTGCATCAAAAGGATTTTGCTTAACATTGAGGAAATCTCTTGCAGACTTTAAAGATATTATGTCATCATCATCTAATATTCTGCTAAGCTAGTCCCCAAAGAACTGCCAAATTGTGTATTATTAGAAGAAACAGTAATATTTATAAATAAAATGTCTGCAATAAAAATTATCCCACCTTATTTTTATTTGTTTTCTGTTTATGAATGGTTAAGACAAAAAAAAAAAAAAAAAAAAAAAAAAAAAAAAATATTTTTCTTTTGCTCTTGAATAGAATTCAGGGCTTAAGTAATATGCACAATGGATGAAAGCTTTATGAAATATATTTTTTGTTCCATATATTTCAAAATTTGTTTTGGTTGCAATATTTTGTGCCTAGTTAAAAAAAAAAAAATTATTTTTATCCATTCAAATTATTGCAGTCTTATACCACCTCACTTTAAAATATGAATATTTTACTGTGAGTAAACATAAAAAGGAATATTTATTTATGATGTACATAAAAATATAGAAGTTATTTAAAGCTGCAATATAAAATGTTGGATTTGAATTACTGTAAATATGAAAATTTCATAAATGCTTTGCTGTATGTATTATTTTGTTGCATTATCATCAACATAATATAATTAGCTTAAAGCTTTAACTGATATCATACATTAAACTTATAGTTTCATATTTTAAAAATTTCACATGGCAATGTATTTTCAATAAACAATGCAAATGCTTGTAAAATGAAATAACTTTAAGCTGAGAATTCAGTTTGAATTTGAAAATTATTTTACAAAATTATAATCATATTCTGTATATTTGCACATATTACTAAAATATATGTATATAGATGTTATATTTGAAATGTGTAAATATCTGCCTGTAAGTATAGTTCCTCTTTCTAGTATTGTAAATTTGTTCCAGTATTATATGCTTGTTTCAGACTGAAGACATTATTTTCTGAATATTCTTTGTAACATTTAAATTTCTTGCTTCCCAGCTATAGTTGATTTTTTAAAAACTCCTTTTACTGAACACGGTTGTTTATATACATAAATCAACTGTTCAGTTGTCAATATTTGTGGCTGATTAAAATTTTGAAGACACTGAGTATTGTTTTTAGTGTGAGGCTGTAATTTCATTTTTCAATTTATGCATCTAATTAAAAGCGTTATTATAAACATTTTATTATTAAGCATTCGTGGAGTATAGTAAAATGCTCTGACTTAAGTAAACTTGATTTAATATATTCAACTAATCTGAAATTTAAAATTTATTTAATAGATAAAATTGCAGTTTGGCATTGCTTAAATTTTCTCAAAAAATAATAAATATTACTTTTTGAATGACTGAAAATGTACGTAAAAAGTTTTAAAAAAAAATAGGCTACTTAAGGTATTTTTTTATAATACTTTGAAAATAAAAATTATCCTATCCCCCACCTTCAAAAGAATTTAGTTCAATTACCCAAAGAAATATATTTCTTCAATCAACTATTTGATAGTTGAAAAACATTTTATGCTTCTAAAGGGTCTAAATATTTTTGAAAATTATCTTATTTAATTTTAATCCATTATTCCTGATTTAGCTTATCACTTCACAGATAAATTATTGAAATTTGATCACTTCATACCCTGATGCTAATTTTCAGATAGTGTGGTAATTTTATGCAATTCTAACAAAAATGATCTTTCAACTTTTAATATTTCTAAATAAGCTAATGTGAGAATCTGTTTAAACTTAGAAAAAATAAACAAAACATTGTAAAATGTTGTTAATTGTTCACCTTTTGACAATCAAAACCATGATACATACAAGTTTTTTGGAAGAATTATCTGTAGAGACAAAGTAGCTAATTTTAATCTCTTTTCGAATGCAAATAAAAAATTGTATTTTTTTAAATATATGTATATAAGTTTGTGGATCCTTCAGTAACAAGACCTTCTTTGCAAGAGATAGTTCACAACTATCTTGCATATACAAGTATATTACAAGAGCTAGTTCACAAGTATATTGCAAAGCTTTGAAACAGATCTGTAAATATTTTACTCTTCGAACAAACTAGCATGTCACTTTTGTTATACAGATAGCCCTGAACTTAACGCAAATGCCATTACAAATGTTTTTTCATAAATTGATTGATATTAAGTTAATTTATTTTATTTTTAATATCTTTGGTAATAATTTTATAAGTTAGGATTCTGTATAACATAAAATGGGTTTAAGATTGTATAAACTTGCATAATATGTGTAAGAAGTTTATTATTAAATATATACATATGCAGTATATACATATTTTATCAAATTAACATGTGCTGTTCATTTAAATACGTTAACATGAACAGAAACACATAAATAATGTCTCTAATCAAAAATAACAGATGAGTCATTGTTAATCATTTGGATGATTCACTGCAGCTGGAAGTTCCAGCAGCTGGCATTTCCTTAGCCTGAAAAATTTTCAATCTTTTCTGGTAGGTATTTCTTAAGTTTATTACCAAATTAAACTTAATTGGAACAGTCCTTTAAATTATTAATTTCATGTCCCCTGTTCAAGGCTCCATATTGCACCATGCTACATCACACTTTACCTGCAGTGCGAAATCTTTTGTCCAGTTGCTAATCAGATTTAAAACAAAGACTTTCCGAGCTAATAAATACTACTGTAGTTAATATGCATGACTCTTTTAATGCTTGCTCTGCCTAGGAAAGTTGTAGAGCATGTTTAGCGCTGCCCTACAATGTCATACCAATTAAGTAAAAATGTGTTTTCTGAAGAACTTCTCCTGTTCAAACTAAAAAGGACAGTTTAACCATCAAGCCCATTGTGATTTTCTCTCCAGTCATGTCTACGCAGCAGTTTTTCTTGGCCATGACTAGAAAGCAGACTAGTTTCATCTTCCGCAAAAACTACATCATCACATGTGCTTGTCTTTGCATATATATATATATAAATTATTAATTTTCTATTTATGATTAAGGTTACATTCACATTTATTTATTTAAATATATTTTTACAATACATTTTTAGTTTTAGCAGCAATAGTGCTAGATTTTTCACTTTCATTGCTTTTATGTACATATATATATATATGTGCTTGTGATAAACTCAATTGGACATTGTAAGTGGAGCACTGCTTGTATAATTGAAATAAATTAATCTAATTATTATTTCTTTTATCTGATTTTAAAACTTTGTAATTTTGAGTCTTTACGAATTTTTTAGTTGCCTAAATCTGAAAGAATGGTATTTTTTATTTCCATTTGTTTAGGCAGTATTTACCATAACCTTTGCCTATAATTTATCAGCACATACTCCTCTGCTAAACTTTTTTTGCAAAATACGCCTCTGATTTAAACAGAAGTGTTTACAAAAACTGATATTAAATATGTGTCTTCTATTATACTGCATTTCATTTTGATCATTATATTCAAGGGAATGCTAAAAAATGTAGTGGTATATTAAAAGCTAAGTTAATGGTCTTTGAATGTTTAGAGGGGGATATTTTGGGTAAGTTGGTAATGTTTTCTTAAATATTGGAGGTGTTATAAAAATAGATATCTAATTTTTTTAAATTTAAAACTTATAGGAGGAACTTAATCAAAATGCATTAGAAAAATGGAGGAAATAAACAATTAGTATTTAATTTCTTAAAAGATTCTTTTGATGGCAGAGTCTTATGCTAAAGTGCCAAAAATTAAAATATACTAAAAATTAGTAACTTTTTGTATAAATTGAATTTCTTTAATTTGATTGGTCTGCATTTTTTAGAAGTTGATTATTTTTTTAAGGAATGTTGAAATTATTTTCTTTGCATTTATTTCTTGATAAATTTAAATCCATTATTATCTCCAAATCGTAGTGTTCCGAATTATTACTTTTAGAGAAACCTTAAATATATACAGTAATTTGTATTATTTTTTTCCAGTCAATCATCTGCCACAAATAACTCCACTCATGCACTTAATGAGTATTTAATAGATAATTTAAATATTTTAATTTATATTATCACAACTTTAACCCAGTTTAATTACTATAAATGAAAATCAGTTTTTTGATGTTTTAAGTTTTTAATCGTTTTTAAGTAAATTTTAATTGAAGCATTAAATATATTTTTAAAGAATCAAAATACAACGGGTTTAAACATTGCTATATTGTTTACATTAATGTTTCAAATTTTTTATTCTTTCAAGCAAAAAGTTATCAGCTATTTAAAAAAAAAAAAAAATTGTTTCATATACTTACTTATTAAGCAGTAACAGTTCAAGTACCTTTCAGTTACCATTGATTTCATTTTCCTCTTTTAATTGCTATAATACTTAGGTTCATATACTTCCTAATCTTAAGTAAACCTGTTTTTTCCATAAAAAGTTAATTTGTGGGAAATGATTTTGCCTTATGTGCAATGCGCTATTGACATAACCATTGCAAGCACATTGTAGAAATATCTGATGTCATGATGATACATTGTAGTCTGTAACTTTGTTATGCATGATGGCCGAATGAACAATATTCCTTTTTATTTATAAGTCAAACATCTTAATACTCCAAATAAAAGCATAACATTTTTAAAGAACAGTATTGGCACCATTACATTTCCAAAATATAATTTTGAAGACAGCATACAGCAGTAAGTTGATAGAAGTGAAGCAGAATTGCAAGTGCAGCATATTCCACAATGGAGGCTCAGTTCAAAAGGACTTGGGCTTTAGTTCCAAATAATCTGCATCGCTAGCATTATGTAAATGATGGAAAGGGAAAGTATCCATATTAAAATAGAGAATTGTAAGGGACTATTGCAAATTAAAATTAGTATTTTGATTTACATATTTTTCCATCTTAGCAAATTTAGATGTTACTAAATGCAACCATTTGTAATTAGTTTATCTGTGTAACAAATTAGGATATGGTTAATTAATCTGTCTAAGTTTACCTTAATATTGTAATATAAATATGACAATGTTATTTCACTTAGTTCAGTGGCCATTTAAAAAAAATGAAAATATATCCGCAAATAAAAAATTTGTATATTTCAAATCCTAGCAAGCAAGCTAGTTGCACAAGACTTTTATAGTTTTCCATTTATAACATAGATATAAGCCAGTTTCCTGTAGAATGTTCTCAGTTGGATAGTCCTTATGTGCTGTGTTTTAATTAACCAATTAGTATTTTTTAAAACAGTAAATAAAGTTAATTATTTTAATTGCTTTTATATAGTTATTTTATTTGAAATGTTTATCTTTAGCAAAGGTAATAAACCATGTACTTCTGTATAAAATTAGTAAATATGAAATTTATCACTAACTATTATTTAAACTATTAAATTGGGTTCAGCCAGAGTTCTATTTCTTCTGAGAGAAACTGGTTTTTGTTGTTACTTATGCTCACTTGTCTGGCAGTATCATCAGTCCAAGCCTACAAAAATTCGTTGTGATAAGGAGCGCAAGACTATGCCTGTCGTTAGCAACAGCATTGACAGTGTGATCTACCTCAGTTCCACCCCAATTTTGATGGAGAGCACCCCAGGGGGGATGGATCTGAGGGTCTCCCCTTTCACCAAACCACACGAGAGGATTTTTCGCCTCACTACGTATCTAGAGTGCCACTATGCCACACCAACACTATACATTTACAAACATCCATGCCTTCTCCGTGATTCGAACCCAGGCCCTTCGGCACGGCAGTCAGTAACACTAACCACTATACCGATTGGGCGGTGGAAGAAACTGGAAGTTAAAGATGAAGAAAAAATGGTTTTTAGCACCTGTTAGGCTGATGAAGAAGATAATTTTATGCATATTGTTTAACTTACTTGAAAATAAATGTTTTATTACATCTGCACTAAAATGCAAAATAATTTTTTAAAAAATCCATTGGAAATTGTGATGGAGTGTATATTCATTTACTGGAAAGCCTAAGAGAGGAAGCCTTATGCCAATTAGGAGGAGAATTTGATATATTTAATCTAATATTTGATGATATATTTTGGAACAATATTGTAACTGAAATGAATCAGTATGCAGATCAAGTACAAGAAAATCCACATAGAACATGAGTGTAAAAAGTGTAAAGTTCCGTTACATGTACCAGAATGCTTCGAAATATATCATACCATTACAGATTTCTAATTTTGTATAAATAAACATTTTGTAATACTTGCTTCTACCACAATTATTGCATCAGACTCTAATTGCGTATCAAATATTCCACGTAATATTCACTTCTGGTCCGATCACCGTATGTGGGCTATGCCCATGAAAGTTAGGTTTGGCCCGACCATCGTTCACGGGCTGTGCCCGTCATTGGAGATTAAAGGGTTACTTAATACAGTCAAAAGTCTTTATTCCGGACGTCCATAATATGGGCTTCAAAGCTACAAGCTTCCAGCGAATGCGTTAACGCATGTGCATAATACCTCATGCATGCGCATTTAATGTATAATGGACGCTATAAGCTAAGCTAAAATTATCTAATTATCTATTTCAGTTAATGTTGCAGATTGCGTTGTACCTTAATCTTCTAATTGAATCCGGCTTATTATTTTTGGCAGACTGTTAGAGCAATTTTATAAAAGTAAGCTTGAACTTTAGATTATGTCAAAAAGAATTTCTGATTTTGGAGCTACCAAAGGATCTAGAAAGCGAAAGCATGTTTCGATGTCCATCAAACAAAAAGTGGAATTGCTGCAAAAAATGGATAAAAGCACATCCTTTGTTTCTCTAACCATTCCGAAATCTGTTTATCAATTTCACGCTGCTCTCTGGGGGGGGGAAGAGAACGTTGCAGCGCGCAATAATCTGGAAGTTGACCTGTCAGTGTAACCTTATCTTCAGGGGAGACGTTTTTATTTTATTCAGCTTATAATTCCTTACTAAATGTAGTATTTCATCTCGATGTACTCCATCTTTGATATGTTTAAATCAAATTCCTCGTCATTATAAATATCACGAATACACATCAAATAGATTTCTCGTTGCAATTTTCTAATTTCGACTCTGTAATGTATGCTGTATGCATGCACATAATTTTTGTAAATTTTGATACCCTTTAGATCATAATTGCTCTTTATTTCATAAATTACGGTTTCATATTTTTAATTTTATAATTTTTGCATGCCATCTTACTGGATTTAAACTGATGATCTATAATTCGGAATCACCGAAGTCCTGACAAGTCCGGATTAAAGACTTTTGACTGTAGTTTTTAGGAGTGTTTCAATGTTTTCATTATTTCCAATTTATGCAATATTTTGTTTTACCTCTTATCTTTGTTCATACATATAATGGAAGTATTTAAATTGATTAGTAATGTAGTAAGTATTATGCATAAATAAAATATTACTATGAAAATCAGTTTCTTCTGGACACTTATCTTCATCATGGAAGAAACTTGCCAGTTCTTTTCAGAATACACCTTTTCCCCTATCTTATTTTTTCCTGATGTCATTTGTAATGCATTAAATCTTATATGTTAGAAAGGAATGTTTCATTTTTGAAATTTCACATGAATTGTATAGTTGAGATTGAAGTTCAGCAGGACTGGAATAATTTTTTCTCTTTTGAATTCATACATTTAAAATTATAAAGTAGCTTATGACATGCAAAAAAGTATTCTGTTTTGTTACATTCATCTTATGGCAACATACATTCAATCTTGTAACTCAATTCTGATTTCTTTTATTGTTTTAATAATTATGTTACTTGAAGTTTCTGTTATTGATATGAAATGATGTTGAATTTCAGACTTTTAGCTAAATATATTAATAGGAAAGCACATTTCAGAGGTACACTAAAGTACATAGTACACAAGGTGATTGAAAAATATGACGCAAAACTGTAAAGGCAAGCATAGGGGACCAAAATAAACAAATTTTGTAATGGAATGTGTATGCAAAAATGTCACGATGTGGTAGAGTGAGTTATTGAGCAGTAATTGTTCTATTAAAATCAATTATTGTTCCCTATACGAATTTCATTATTACATAAATGTAGAGCCTGCCAATATGCATTTTATCTATGAGAGAGCACTTAAAAAGAAGATAAAAAGAATGACTCCCAAGTATTCCTCTGAGCAGCTGCTTCATTTCCATGTATAGCTGTATGCATAAAATGCATATCAGCAAGCTCTATATTCATGTAATTCATAATGCATACAGCATAACATGATGATGATTTACACCTGAATCTGCTTATTCTAGTTTCCTTTACCAGTCTATACACTTTTGCCAGATATTTTTAAAACATCTCCAGTACTGCAGTATTATCAGAAAAAGCTATTGCAAGCATAATGAAGCTAGTTAAATTATACGGAAAATGACAAATTAATAATGTAAAAGTAAATATGAAATAATTTCATAAATTAATTTCTCCTTGTTTCTTTTTTTTTTAACTTCAGTGAAAGAATGTATTTTAAAGCTGTTTTTTCCCCCGTGGTGAAAAAAAAGCATGCTAACCCTGAATTCAGTCATTCCATACATACACATACTGGCCACTGAAAAAAAATATTATAGATATATAATTACAAAACCATTCTTTTGAAAACAAATATACACATGCCTAGTATTTTCATGCATTAAGCTGCAGAAAAATTATCATTAAATATAAAGTAAGAAATTTAGAACTAATATTTCAAAAAGACCAATAATTGAAATTCATAATTAATAAATTTCAAATAATTGCAACAAAGAACATGAAAATGTTAAACCAAAACATTTCAAACAAGCAAAACCCCTGTTTAAAAATTTTTAAAGAACAAGAACAGAGAGGAATTCAATCAACTTCAATGGTGGAGGAACATTGAAATCAATCGACAAAAACAAAATACTTCAGTGAATAATTAATCAAAATGTTTACCTTTCAACAGATAATCCAGTGAATTAAGATGTGAGTGAATTTAAAAAATATAGTTGAAAAAAACTTAATAATAACACACAAGAAGTAATTAAGAACTTCGAGCACTCTCATTAGACTCCAGTCTAAACTATGAGATGTGAAACAGTCGGGACATACAGGTTTGCCATTTTGGCTTCCTTGGCAAAAATATAAAAACTTGGCTAGAAAGTAATCGCTCAAAATGCTAAAATCTTGTACGAAATATGTAATTTTGAAACCAAAAGAAAAACTCTGAAATATTTCAATGAAATTTTATTTTTATTTTTTAGTCAAAGAAAAAGATTGCAAATTAATTGAATGAAATTGAAGTAAATTTTGACTCTTGTAAAACAAAAATGGGAATAAAGACTATTATTTAGTGTAAAACTTTAAGTTTTAAAATTAAATTATTCTTAAAAAATATTCAAAAAGTGATAAAATAGTTTTTAATAATTGTTTTGTAGATATGAGTAAAAAATTTATAAAGCTGAATTTTAGTTTATAAATTCTGTAATATGAATTACAGAAAAAAGTTTAAAAAGGAAGTAAAGGAACATTGTTAGAAAAGTAAAAAGTCTTCATGTCATGGGCTTCTCATGATGACTTTGAATATATATAAGGCCATGGTTAGTAACAGAATAGTAATTAAAAAAAAGAAAAAAAAAAAAAAAAAAAAAAGCGTAAAGGTATTACGCGGACGCATGCGCAGAAAGTTTGTAGCTTTGAGGTCCGGATTAACGACTTTTGACTGTAATATCAATATATCTATAAGTATGTTCAAATTTACTGAAATTGTTATCAGAAAGGCTTTTAAGGAATGTAAATTCTTTAGAAAATAGAAATAGGTTACAAATAGAGTGGAATATGAATTTCCCATTGGAATACCTTGTGTTTGCACGTAAAGAGAGTTTGAATGTTTAATATAGTTACTGTACAGTGAAAAATGTAGAAATTAATTCTTTCCATTTTTTGTAAATCCAGAATATTAAGTATTTCAGGAAAAAATTCTGTCATTTCTATAAGACTTTCATAAATTTCTTGGAATGGCAGGGTCGTGTAGAGATTTTCAAAGTCATAGCAGTTAATATTGTAAATTTAAGATTTTTAACTTCTTCACTGATTTTTTTAAGTTGTCATAAATAATCCAGCAGAAGTTTTTGCATTATTTAACTTGTTCAAAAACTGCTTTTCAAACAGTCTTACATAGATTGGTAAAGATATTATCAAACTTCTTCCTGAAGTTTCTGGTACTATAATGATAAATCTAAATTTTACAGGATTTTTATGAAATTTTGATAAGGCATAAAGAGTGGCAAATCTGTTATTTGTAGCGAAGAGAAAACTTCTCCATTTTTTGTGAACGGTAGAAATTTTGTTAATAACAGTTCTCTCTTTATTTCTGCAAATACTATAGGTAGAAGAATTTGTTAGTTCATTTTCAATTATATATAAAGAATTATATAACTTATATAAATGATACCCATAAGATTTTCTTTAATTGTTTTAAACATGCCTTTTTAATAAGAAATAACTAAATTTTAGATAAATGAAAATTATATTTATTTTGGAGAATGTACAATTTCCTGAAAATTCACAGGCTGAAAAAACAAGACTTTTTTCTCAAAAATATGGCAATATTATTTTGCAATTTTTTTTTCACACAATAGTACAAACATCAAATCACAAGCAAAAAATGTACATTCAGTGCAATGTACAATGTGCAATGATATTATGGAAATCATTGCACATTTAAAATTATAAACCAGATCTCTTTGGTATAGAAAATGAAGTTGATTTAAATGTTTAATAATGATCATGAACTCTTTTTATTTGATTGACTTTGTATCATAAATGTATGAAAATTGTACCGAAAAATGCTACATACTAATAAAAAGGCATTAATTATATAAGTAGTTACACAAACTACACAGAAGTCATGAAGAACAAATATCAAAATACATGCAAGGTAGATTGAACATATGTTGGATAAAATAGACAGCAGTATCAGTATCCTAGATAATGTTAAATTAGGTATTTCTCCTGGAAAGAAAAACAGGAATATTACACAGACTTGCAGACTTAACTGAATTATATTAATTCACAATAGAATTACATAGCTTAAGGAAACCTTAAAAAATTCATTTAAATTATGAACAGAATTTTTTTTTTGAATTTATGAAGCATGACCTAATTTGTAAATAGTTTTCCAACCTATACTCTGATGAGAAATTTAATATTTTTTTATGATGTTACGTTGTATCACTTCTATACTGAGTTTGAAAAATGTTCTGAAAAAATACTTATGGTTGTAAATTTGAACATTGATTAAAATAAAGAACAAGGCAAACAGTGCAGAACAAAAAGTATGTGCATTACTGATTAAGAAAATATTCATTTTGTTAAATGAATTTATTTGTTTTTACAAAAGATACATATTTTGGATTAATATGAATGTAGAAGATAATACTGTTAAGAACATCTTACTTTAAGCTATATAGACACACTTGTAATTAATCTAAATAAAAGTACAGTATAGAGCAACACTAGAAAATGTTTTATATTCTTGTAAGAAAATGCAATCTTTTATTTTCTTTTTCACATTCTCTTTTTTATTAGCTATGTGAGATAATGATGACTTTCTTTCTTTTTTGGGTACTTTTCCATTTTGCTGGTGCAGGCGATAAAGTCACTAATAATGGTACAACTGATGCCAAACGGAATATCCTTTTACACCTTATTTTCAAAACAAGTCACAACTTTCTTTCAATACTGGCAGACAATTACATAGAATTTTTACCAGATAGTTCAATTTTATGCCATTCGTGGTAATTAAGTCAATTAGGATGCAATCACACCACTTACCTGAAGCTGAAAATATAGAAAAGACAAATTCATCAATTCTAATGAGAATGCAGTAGCGAAGTAAAGCACTGCAGTTTTACATAATTTCTGAGTAAGCTATTCGTACAAATTGAAATAATTCTTGCATTTAAACTTGTATTCCAAATTAAGATTTAACTTGAAATTAATGTAGATAATTAATGAGAGAATTAGATTTTTGTAGCATAGTTTACATAATATGCGATCACTTGGAGTCATGTGATATGAACCAGCGAATCAGGATGTTGAACCATGAAAGCATAGTAAATTCTTAAATTAATGTCTTTATTTATTGGATTTTTACAAAATTTTAAATGATATTAAAATGTTTATGCTTTTAAAATAAAAAATTCTTGGAGCTAACATTTGTTAACATTTTTTATGTGCATACTGTATGTTGTCGCCAATAAAGTCTGCTTGGTGAGATTTGCGCCGGGGAAATGGAAAAGTACCCTTTTTTCTTTTTTAAAATTGCAATATCAATTACAGCAAACACTTACCTGCATTGCAGTCAAAATTGCATCATTTTGTGATAAACCTCTTCTCACAGAATGTTTCAGGATAATGTTTGTTCATCTCTTATTAATTTTTACTATATTTTGCATAATATTAAACATAATTTACTATACCTGTCAAGAAATGCAGAAGCATAATTTGCCAAAAAATTTGCAAGTGCTCCAATACTTATGCAGTATATCATGCTTAGCTACTCATGATCGAGCTATACAATACAAACATAATGTCAACAAAAGCACTAGAATAAGAACTGGCAGTTAATCTGAGGAGTCTCTTTTTTTTTTTTTTTTATTATTTTTATTTAACTGAACTCGTATGAAGGCACTGATAGTTGAAGAATACCAATGTGACACAACTGTCAAACAATACCTATCAGAAATAATAATAAAAAGCTATTTAATTGATATGCTGATAATGAAAACCTATTGGATCATCTGAAAAGTTCTGAAGTTTTTTGATGATAAATACAAAAGAAGGAATATAAAAATATAAGAAATATGATTGAACTGAATCATTAAACCCCACAAAGACCGTTATATTCTGTGACACTTTGCCATCGCTCAGGTAGAAAAGATTCCTTTCTTAAAAAAGAAGTTACTAATGTGATGCGAATTCTGAAGTGATGAGCAAGAGGGCAAAGTCTAGTGAATACGGAGGTGACATAAAACATTTCAGACATATTCAGTAAGTTTTTATTTTTTTGTCTGACATTCACCGTGGAAGACAATACCTCAGAGATTGGTCAGTTCTAGGTACTTTGCTTCAATTTCTGTTTTAAAATAGAAAACAATTTATGAACAGCATTTTTCTGAATTGTGCGATTTGGTGGCAACAATGCCTTTGTAGTCTCACCATACACAGAGTGTTACTTTTACGGGATGCAGTCCCACTGTTGATGTTACTAGGTCTTCTGGCTTACCCTAAAATCTTTTTCTTGTAATACTATTATACAGTATCCACTTATCATCTCAAGCAGTGAGCTTCTTTATTTTCTTTTTGGCAAAGAATCACATGCCAAAACACGAGCAAACATATTCTGCTGTATTGGATACCCATCAAATCTTCCTCAAATGACCATGCACTTTTTGGAATATTTATTTATGCATGATAATTCCTGAACTGTATAGATTGGATTTTTTGTGATAGCTTATTAGAGGATGATTACTCCCAGGGACATCATTTCAAGGCTAAACCTATGAAACCACCTTCGAACTGAGTTATCAAAGGGACTTTTTTTCACATCCAACAGAAATTTTACAAGCAGTTTGCATTTTTTTCCCTTTTTTAATATCAAATAATGTGACGAAAATGAACTGTCCGGTTTTTCCTTTTAAGCACTGCATGGAAGTAAAAGTTATGCAATTAGTAAAAATGTCCATATTTAAACATATGCTTCAAATGAGGTGGTTACTCAACATCGGCAGTAAAAAAATAATAAATTAGAAGAAAAGGTACTTTGATTTGAAAAATGCAGATTGTTTGCGACAACCCAATATTTCATTGCCTAAAAGTGCCTATAGATTGTTGGTAATATAACGGCATGTAACTAGAGTTACATGTCTAAATTAGCAAATGCAGGATATCCTATGACAAAATGCCCAACATTTCATAAAAAAGGGGGTCACCTTTTAGAATTTGAAAAATAGCATATGTCATAGTTATGCTAAGTATGTTTACTACTGGTGTGGAAGAGAAGGATACTTTGCACAACATATTTTTAACAAAAGAATTGCATTACGTTCTCGTTACAAGTTCATGAAGTTCTTCATGCCTCATATGTTTAAAATCTTACTTCATTATAATGACCCCTTTAACTAAATGTATTAATAGCCCTCTTTTCTCCACTCAATATTGATTAACAAAAACATTTTTAGTTACTGCTTAGCACTGCAAAATAAAAATGACAAAGTTATATGCTCACTTAATGTACACTACGTCAAAAAAAAAGAAAAGGGGCGGGGGCTATATATCTCCTGTTCTACTGGACTGGTGGATGAAATTCAACTTGTGTTTTCCATGTCTCAAAAGTGCAACTTAGGACACACATTAGATTTATATACAGTCAAAAGTCGTTAATCCGGACTCGTCGGGACTTCGGCGATTCCGGATTATAGATCATCAGTTTAAATCTCGTAAGATGGCATGCAGAAATCTAAAATATGAAAGAATTTAAAAAGAACAATTTATGATCTAAAGGGGATCAAAATTTGCAAAAAGAAAAGCTTAATATTTATTTGTTTACTTTATTAAACTTTCTTTCAATGTAAGTTGTTTAAGTTTTGCTTCGTTTCATGTGATAATACTTTCTATTTAATTCTATTAACAGACATAATTTCGTTCAGTTACAAAGTTACGCTGTTCAAGTCCTATAATTGCTGTGTCGAGAACACCGACTATTTGTCAATCGAAATTTTTCGTTTCAAAACCTCTGTTACTTTCTTCGCTATCGAAAGCGAATTATAATGACGAGGAACTTGTTTTAAAAATCATATCAAAGACGAGCATATCGAGATGAAATACTACATTTGGTAAGGAATTATAAGCCAAATAAAATAAAACATCTGCTGAAGATAAAGATAGTGTTGACAGATCAACTTCCAATTCATTACGCGCCCGCCGCGCGGCGATCCCCCGCCGAGCAGCGTGAAATTGATAAACAGATTTCGGATTTCAAAAACATACTTTCGCTTTAGATCCTTTACATATTAAAAAAATATATCGGAAAATTCTTTTGATATAATCGAAAGTTTAAGCTTACTTTTATAAAATTGCTCTTACAGTCTGCAAAAAAATAATAAGCCGGATGCAATTCGAAAATTAAGGAACAACGCAATCATCAACATTAACTGAAATAGATATTAGATAATTTTAGCTTATACGTCCATTATAAAAAACGCGCACGCGAAAACGTATTCTGCACTTGCGCAAACTCATATGCGCAGTCGTAAAGGTCTTACGCGCACGCGAAACGCCTATGCGCATGTGTCAACGCGGCGCAGCAAGTTTTTAGTTTTGAGGTCCGGATTATAGATCATTCCGAATTATGGGTGTCCGAATTAACGACTTTTGACTGTATAGCATTGTTCTAATGTAGGTATTTTGACACAAAATTAGAACCAGAATTTTCTGAAAATAAATCGGACTTTTTCTGAAATGACTAGCCAATACTTTCCCATATTTTGATGCTATGACTCATATTATGCCAAACTGCCAAATTTTGCAAAAATCGCATGAGTTTTTAAAAAAGTAGCTCTCAAAATTTTAGCTCCTCAATGTTAATTGAATTTGATATATATTTATTAATATCTTTTGGTTTTTTTTTTTTTTTTTTTTTTTTTTTTTTTTTTTTTTTAGTAAACTTACTTGATTTCTTCTTCCAGAAGTCAAAATTTAGATTTAATTCAAATATAATTCGCACAACTTTTTTATGATTTATTTTTTAAATTTTGTATTTTAAAATATTTTTTATAAATTTTTTGAAAAATATTTTTTTATTATAACCTATAAAATTTTTAACATCATCTTTAAGTAGATGTTTTTCTAGGCACACCTGCAAAAAATTAGTCTTTTATTCAAAATTTTCTAAGATATACATGAATTTACAGATTGGCACATTTTGAAATTTGGCATTTTTATTACGAGCCATAATAATGCCAAATGGTTTACGCACTTTATTAAAATTATTTGAAAGAATGAATGATGACTTTTTTTCCACTCATCTACAATAAAAAAAAAAAAAAAGGAAAGAAAAAGAGATTGCTATAAATTAAGAAGTTCGGCCAAGTAAATTATTCTTGGCACAACTGGAAAAATTGCATGGAGATAAATTTTTTATTTTCTCTATAAATTTTGCACCAAATTCTACAAAATTTAATATTTAGGTATAATTTGAGTCGTAGAATTGAAATACGAAAAAAAAAATTGATGTCATTTCAGAAAAAGTCTGATTTTGTGTCAAATATCTATGTTAGAGTAATGCTATATATAAATCTAATGTAAACTCTTTGCGTTATGCTTTCGAGACATTATAAACGCAATTTGAATTTCGGTAATCGGATTAGTAGAACGGGATATTTCCCAATTTTTTGTCCTGTCCCTTTTTTTTTAGCAGTGTACAATTTTTTCTTTTGAAATAATTATATTATTGCTCACAAAAAATTAAATTTTGATGAAAATAAAAAAATAGTGATACATTTTTAAGCTTTGAAAAACTGATGAAAATATCATCTGCAATTACATATTACAGTTATCTGCAATTACATATTTGGTATGAAGATAATTTACGCAAACTGTAATTTCAAAAGTCTTGACATATTTTTAAGCTTTGAAAAACCAGTATTTTCATTAAACGTGATATCTTTGACATTGAACTCCCACAGTGTTCATTTTAGAACACCGTGGGAAGATACTGATCTATAAACAGCAAACTTGAAAGATTAAATATTCATTTTTATTTCAATTGTATAGCCACTATTGATTTGGCACTCACTTTCAAGGTGCAAAAAGCAAGTGCGTAGTTATTCAATATGGAAGTTTAGTTTAAGAGAACAGTTTTGGTTGTAGAAATTTTATGTTCTGAATTAGTTATAGTCACTATAGTTATGCAAAGGATGCTACAGTCATCATGGTTATGTAAAGGATGGAAATTATCCAAATTGAAACAAAAAATAAAGGGACTACTACTTGTGTATAATTTAATAATTGTATAAGGAAGTCATGTGGTGTCCACATCAGATTTTTTTATTAAGGTTTATGATAACATGTACACACAGGATATAAACTTTCTGGAATGTTATATGATTATTTATCTTTTATACACTTTTTTTGTTGTTGTTTACATTGCTGAAAAAGGCTTTGTTCTGCTTGTTGGCTTTTTATTCACATATAAGCACAAATGGTTGTATGTTGTTAAGTGGGTCCCAACAGAAGGCCCAGTTCAGAGTCATAGCTAGGGTTTTCAGGGCCCAGGGACAACTGAAGATTTCGAGCCCCCTACTGCTTGCCAAGGATGGAAAACATTTAATTCTAAAATGTCGTAACATCAGTTTGGCGCCCCTTGGATTCTGCGCCCGGGGACAGATGCCCCCGTTGCCCCCCTCTAGCTACGCCCCTGGCCCAGTTAAAAAAAAAAGTGAGATCTTAAGCAAAATGGTCTTTTATGTCCATTTTCCAGCCTTTATTTAGATAAAATAAGTTTATGACAAATTACAGGGCTAAAGTGCAGAATCACCCACTTATTTGTAAGAGTACGTTCTTAGTCAAACTGTACATAGCTACAGTTTGAGTAAGAAGAATTGGATTTTTGTCAATTTTCTTTTGACATTTCAAGTGAAAATAGGTCGATGTGTACATGGATAAAGTCAAGGGAATGCACAATGCCATTTTTGTGCAATTCTAGAATGCTTTTTTAAGTGAAAATAGGTCGATGTGTATATGAATACCGAGTATGTGCAATTCTTAAAAACACACCAAGCAGTGGGCGATTCTGCAATTTCTCCAATTACAATAGGATTTTGAGCTCTCTAAAATCCACAGTTTTAATTTCAACATTGTAGGCATTGGTGGTAATCAGACTCTAAATAGACTTAATGCATGATATGGTTACTTTTTTTAATTAAAAACTGAATTTATGAGTACAACTGGCAAAGCAGCTAAGTAAAGTGTAAGGCAATAATGAACTATTTTTGTTACAAGGTATATCAATCAGTAATAATAATAATAATAATTGGATCAAAAACAAATATGAATTGTATATTTCTGGTAATGGCTTTCATGACTTCACATTAATGAACATTCAATTTAAATTTATAAAATTCCTTAAAAGATCGAGTTCTATAAAATAACAAATGTAAAATAATACACTAATTAATGGAAAATACTAGATACATACCAAGAGGCATAAATCCTATATAAAATACTACACCATATACACTGTTTGGTTGGTTCAATATGGAATCTTTTCCAACAATATGTTCCAGGAGACCAAAGCCTTTGCCATATCTGTATATAAAAAGAACAAAATCTACCTTCATACATTGTTTAATTTATTTTGAGATCACGCGTAAGTATACTAAAAATAAAAAAAAAAATGTATATTAGTATGCACAAGTAAATGAATAACATACTTAGAAGTGAAAACAGCTGTACAGCTAACATGCTCAGCGATATCACACATTGCAGTATAACTTTCATCCCTTTCTTTAGTTGTTTCTACATGATACGCATAGCATGATAACAAAATTCCCAAGACACAACATATAGCAGTAGCAACTCTGAGAGATTTTACAGCAGATTTATAATCTTTTATCTGACCAGACATAGCTACAGTCACTCTGCACATTTGTTTACGATCTGGAATAGCAAAGCAGACTGGTTTTGCACCCACTAATTTTTTCTACCGGCAGGGCAAAAAATCAAGCATAGGTACAAAGGAAAGGCATGGCACAGGTGTCCAAATATATCAAACGCGTAGGCGATTTTCTTTTCATGAGAAGCCAAAGGCAAGAAAGACATAATAGCATTTCACTTTAAACCCCATTCGGAAGATTTTTTGAAAGCAGAAGAATACAGTGACAAGTTCTGCTTAATTTGTTCACTGTTAGAAAATGCAAAGAAGGCAAATTCGGTTACGGATGGAACAACAACCGAGCAAAAAAGGAAATTCAAGCTTCCGAAACTTGAATTGAGAAAATTTACTGGAAGAATCGAAAGACTTTCTTGCTTTTTGGTACCAGTATAAAAAAATTCATAACGACCTCTCCATTGTCGGATGAAGATAAATTTTAATATTTTTTACAATGTGTGGTATCAGATTCTAAAGCGTCAAGACTGGTAACAAGTTTTCCGCCTACTAAAGAAAACTATTCAAAGGTGATTGCACAACTTAAATAACGCTTCGGGAGAAATGAACTTTTGGTTCAGATTTATGTACGGGATCTAACTTTCCATTAATGAAAAATGCTGCTGGTAGGGTTAAAGTAGATTTAGCTGAACTTTACGATTTACTTGAGAGCAAGCTTATGGCACTAGAAAGCCTCGGTAGAACTAAGGAAAAAATTGCAGAATTTTTGGAACCACTTGTTGAGTCCTGTTTACCAGAGACTGTTCTTCGTGCGTGGGAAAGAAGCCGCTCGATGGAAGATACTGCCTCACAGCAAGATAGTGCGCGTTCGTTGGATAAACTATTTCACGCTCTCCCGTGTTCAGCTTGTTTTTTTCTTATGAAGAGTGGATTATTCGGGATCCGATTAGTGTTTTGTGTTATTCAGTGTGTTTCTACTGTAATTCTGGTTTTAATTACTGTGGATTAATACGTTTTTGACCGTGTTTTGTGCTATGGTGTGCGTTGTGGGTGTTAAGCCTAACACGTGCTAGTGTCAGCAATGGATCCGAAGGATTACCCGCCGCTTCCTCCGCCCGAGGTTGTGAACGTTAGTAAAGAAAATCTCTCTGGTTTACCCGAGGAGATATGTGCGTATGCAGACAAGGTGTTAGGAAAAGGTTGGAGTCAGCTATTAAACAAGGATTGTTACGATGCGGAGGATTATCAACTCGCGCTTCAGCAAGTTCTGCTTCTGAATGTTGCAGTTCATGTAGATGAGCAGTTAACGGAAGATGATCTCAATACATTATCCAGTGAGGAGGATAAGCAAAAACGTCTGGATATACACCAAAAAAGGAGTGGAATAGCCAAAAGACTGGCTTTGTTATTTCAGGGTAAGTGCGACGTTTTTAGTGCCCAAAATCCTAGTATTGTAAATTTATCTTGTGATAAGTTGAATGTGAATGTTGTTAAGCATGTCCCTAAGATGCAGGTTATATCTACTGTTAACTTCTGTTAACTGTAATGATACTATATCAAGTGTAAAAAATGTTAGTGATAAATCTGGTGCAATTGCACAAACTCCTAGCGGAGAAAAAACAAAAATTTTGCTTAAACGGCCTTCGAAAAAAGGAAAAAGATGTGTGAGCGAAATTCAGGATTCAGAAGGCTTTACACAGCCGCGTAATACGGCTCGGCCTGCTAAATTAGTCAAAGCTAATGCAGAAATTAATGTTAGCAATAAATTTGATAAGCTAGGTGAAAATGCTAATGCAGATAATACTGCCACTAATAATGATATGGAAGTTAGTGAAGAGAATGAGGTTATTGAAATGCAACAACCGAAGGTGAAACCGATAATGGTGAAGCCTCCAATTAAATTTTCGGATTTCTCTAAAAAATTGAGGGCTGAAACTAATTTAGACTTTGCAGCTAAAGTTACTGGCGAGTTTTTTAAAAGTTTTTTCCGAAAACGGAAAATGATCACCGTCAGATAACAAAATATTTGGATGAAAAAAGTGTAGATCATTATTTAATTACCAGAAAGATGGATAGGCCCATCAAAATAGTTATAAGAGGTTTACCTATCGATTGCCCCTCAGATGACATTTTTGAGGAGCTGGTTAATTTAAAGTATAAACCTCGAAAAGTTACCCAAATGCACAGAACCAAATCTAAGGCTCCTATGCCTTTGTTTCAGGTTCATTTAGAGAATGTACCAGGGGTGCAATCTATTTATGATGTTAAAAAACTACTATGTTTCTTTGTTGAAATACATCCTTATAAAGTGCGTGGAAATGTTGTGCAGTGTCACAACTGCCAACACTTCCACCACAGTAGTGAAAATTGCAAACTACAACCAAGATGTGTGAAATGTGCGGGTGCACATCGTACTGATAAATGTAATGTTAAAAAATTAGACTCTCCTATTTGTTGTAATTGCCTGCAAGAAGGACACACCGCCAATTATCGCGGATGTCCGAAATTTCCCCGACGCATAGTCGGAAATAAAACTGTGAATAAGAGTGCAAACTCAGAAAATGTAAATAATGGTGCTAAAATGCCTAGTACTTCTAATGCAAATTTGAGTTATTCTGCTGTTGCCTCCGGCGCAGTTATGCTAGTGTAGCCAAGAGTGACGTTCAAAGATCTGTAAATACTGTTAATAATTTTAATGTTGATATGCATAAGCAGACTGTCAGCAGTGGTGGTGCTGCTAGTGCTCCTGTTGGTTCGGGTATGTTTATGGACTTTCTCAAGATAATCAAAGAGGTGTGTGATGTTTTTAAAGGCACCACATTTATGAATGTTTTTCAAAAAATCTCGGCAGCCATGCCTGAATTGCGGGCTGCGGAGCATTCAATCGATAAGTTGTTTATATTATTTAATGTTTTTGACAGTGTTTTTTCCAATGTTGAATAATTATGTATAGTGTAAACAATAGGTACTTAAGTATTATTACTTGGAACGCAAATGGTTTGTTCCGTAAGATTAATGAATTGCGGGATTTTGCAAGTGAGCACAGTCCCGACTTATTTTTCCTACAAGAACACAAGCTTGACCCTAAAATACCATTGTGTGTGGCAAATTACTATACCTACAAGTCGCACAGAAGTACTACCGCTCCTCGCCCACGTGGAGGTGGCACTGCACTTCTTGTCAAACGCTGCATTCCCCATTATCACGTGAACATTCCACAGCTCTCAGCCGTAGAGGCCACAGCTATCTGCATCACAACAGACACTAACACTCCATACACTTTTGTCTCCACCTACATTCCTCCCATGAGACCTGTGGCTGTCGTTCAGGCAGACCTTGAAATTCTACTCACACTTGGTACACATGTTATTATTGGTGGAGACTTGAACGCAAGACACCGCGCATGGAACTGCTACACTTCTAATGCAACAGGCAGACTGATTTATTCCTTGGCCGCGTCGGCACGGTTTAAATTGGCAGTTCCAAGTACCCCAACACGGTATGCTGCTGGGTCCACCGCAATTATTGATTTTTTCCTGTTGCGGAACACCAGTTCTCCACTGGATATTTACGTACTGGACGAACTTTCAAGTGATCACAATCCTGTTAGGATTATTCTGGACCTCAGCAGATATACTACATCAGACACCAGGGCCTTTCGTACAGACTGGCAGGTCTTTGCCAAAGCCCTCTCCAACACCCAGTACACTTTACCCACGATACACAAGGGGAGTGACATTGATAGTTTGGTCAAGGACCTCACTGAAAATATACAAAATGCTTATGCGAAAGCACAAGTTGAAGTTAAACCTGGTATGAAACACAAGCCTCAAGAGCTCAGATTATTGATTAAAGAGAGAAATGCTGCAAGACGAGCGTATCAACGTACCAGACACCGTGATGATAAAAGGAACTTCAATCGCCTGTGCGAAGCGGTCAAGTTTCTTACAAATAAACTCTCACAAGATCGCTGGACTAACTACCTCAGATCTCTTTCTGCAGAGGATAACTCCTTATGGAAAGCAGTGAAGAGGTACAAAAAATGCTATAACGCCATTCCGCCCCTTCACGGCCCTCAACGGATCCATTACACCGGAACTGAGAAAGCAGAACTTTTAGCTCAGCATCTGGAATCTCAGTTCTGCATTAACAACATTTCAGACTCAGACACTGAACAGCTTATTGCTGACTTCCACTCCAATTTTACAACACAGCCATGCACAGACAACATTATCTCAGCCATGCCATCGGAGGTCTGTCTCTATATCATGCGAATTGCGAAAAGGAAGAGCCCTGGAGTAGACGGGGTCACAAATGAGATGATCAAGCACTTCCCTGTCAAGATAATACTCTACTTCACCAAGTTAGTGAATATCATACTACGATGGCAGTACTTCCCAACTTGTTGGAAAACTGCCAAGATTGTCCCTCTGCTAAAGCCCAACAAGCCTGCGACTGCTCCTGAGAGTTACCGACCAATCAGTTTGCTAAGCTCAATTAGCAAAATCGTGGAAGCAGTTATTCTACATAGACTAAACATCTTCCTGGATGAGCAGAAGATCCTCATACCCTATCAGTTTGGGTTCAGGCGTAAGCACTCGACAACGCATCAACTCTACAGAGTTGTTGAGTTAATAAGCAGTGGGATGCAACAACATCGTGTCACTGGTGGACTTTTCTTAGATGTCGCCAAAGCCTTCGATAGAGTATGGCTGGATGCCCTCATATACAAATTACACAACCTGGGACTCCCAGGCTACATCACAAACATAATTAAATCCTACCTAACCGGTAGACACTTTGTCGTTCATGTTTCTGGTTCATTATCCACAAACCGGCCTATACGGGCTGGTGTTCCACAGGGATCCCTTCTGGGCCCTACCCTATTCAATATTTACGTGAACGACATCCCCACTACACACAACACAACACTAGCCATGTATGCAGACGACACAGCGATCCTTAACGCAAAGTGCATTTGTTAGTTCAGCAATACAACAGCTACAACACCACATCCACTCGCTAGAGACTTGGCTGACCAAATGGAAAGTCAAAGTGAATGTCGACAAGACACATGCCATACTGTTTACTACTAAGAAGAATTTCCCGACTCACCTGCAAATGTATGGTGTGGACATTCCCTGGGTCAAGCAGGTCCCTTATCTTGGGGTGATCCTCAGTAAATCTCTTACATGGAACCCACACGTTACACATATTCTCAGGAAGTTTCGAGCTAGTAAAGCTTCACTCACTCTTCCCCTTAATTGCTCGAAACAGTGTTCTATCTATTG